GGAACATGATATATATATATATATATATATATATATATATATATATGTATATATATATATAAAGAGAGAGAAAGAGAGAGAAAGAGAGAGAGAGAGAGAGAGAGAGAGAGAGAGAGAGATAGATGGGATTATATCCAACAATCTATCATATATAAACTCGGATGAATCGAGTAACAGGTACACCTTAAAAAAAGTAGACCCACCCTTCACTTTGGAAGATTGAGACTTAGATGCCCTTCTTTTCCTGTCCAGCTTTCTTCTCATCTGTAAAGATTCAAATATCAACCTCTCCTTCCTTCCTTATCTATACCAATGGGTAATTTTAAACATGCAATCTTCACCGACAAGACTTCGATTCATCAGATTTGGTTTTCCATGAAAGTCATAGTTGATGAATTTTGTGTGGTCTAACTAGTCTTTAAAGAAGAATATATATAGACATGAAGTGGAATCACAAATTAAAACAACAGACAGTATTTAATGTCTTTCTCCAACAGGGTAATTCCATGTAATGTCGATAAAAAGAAACCCACGTGCCACTGTACGGATTCCTTAACTTTTTCCATGGCGATCCATCAAAAAACTGGTATTTTGCTTCTTTGTGAACCTAACCTTCATCCATACCCCTTTGTTCTTGATTCTTTTTTAGAGTCATATATAAAGATAGCGAAACAATGAGGACCTTTTGTCAAAAGTTTTGAAAACATAGGACCATTCGTGAGGTTTTTTAGATTTAGGAACTAAAGTTCAGATTTCGGAATACCATAGGGACCATTTATGAACTTTTTTCACATAATTATTTGTTCTCCAAAGATCAATTACTAAATATTTAAAAGGTTAAGTTTTGCATAATACAAACTTAAAGTTGACAATAAGAGTAGTTATTTGAAGAACATTAGGTTAGCTATTATTGGAATGATGATGGTTAGAATATGACGAAGAGGATAGTCACAATGTAAATTACTAGACATTGAAATAAATTCATTGCACTTACGCAAAACCAACCATAAATAAGGGGTGAATCAAAACTAAGTGAAAGTACTTTAATTAACTTACTTCAAATTAGTTTCTTACCTTGGTTGTTCCGGTTATAATTTGTTTCCACCTTCTAGTGTTGATAGCATTAGGTTGGCTCATTATTGTGATCTTCTTGTACCAGATTGCTTCCGTGAGTTCGTTCCTTTCGTGGGTTTTTACATTCAGTTGCATAATGCCCAAACTCTTGGCAATTATAGCACTGAATGTCACTTTTATCATGACTACTTGATGCATTTTGATTGCTTTCCTCCTATTGATGCGATCTACTTTTTCCACGACCACCACCATGTTCCTCTTCCTCGTTCCCATCCTCGAGAACCTCCGAATCCACCCCAATTCGATTTGTTGTAGTCTAATTTCTTCTTGTTTCTTTCTAACCACTCTTTGTGGGTCAGCAAAAGCTTTCTTTCTTCGTTGTCAGTATGGCCTCTTATTCGTTCTTCATGAGCTTTTAACCTTCCGATCACTTCTTCAACAGTCATCATATCTAAGTCTCCAAATTGTTCAAGTGTGGAAGCAATTTGAACAAACTTAGATGGAACTGCTCTAAGTAACTTCTTCACCACATAAGACTCATCCACCGTATTACCTAGGGATCACATAGTACTTACAATATTTGTCACATTAGTGGCAAATTCATCAACAACTTCCGTCTTCTTCATGCTTATTGTTTCAAATTCAGCCTTCAACATCTAAATTCTTTCAATCTTCACACTTTCTTCCCCCATAAACATGACTTTAAGCGCCTCCCAAGCTTCTTTGGCTGTCTTCTTCTCCGCCAGTGACAACAAAAGATCTTCAGGAATACCTTGGTAGATGGTTGCTAATGCCAGCTTATCGTTCTTTACTTCTACCACGGTATTCTGTGTTCTTGGTTTGACAGCTTCCAATACTCCATGAGCTTGCATGAAAAACATGCATCTTTATTGCCTATGCCCCGTAATTTCTTCTTTATAACATCGGATATATAGTGGAGTGTGATTTGTCCGTATTTGTTGCCAATATTATTGTTGCCTGACATTTATTCTCAAGATTGATACATGGGCTTATATCAAATTCGCTCGGATACCAAATGTTGGTTTTTCACAAACTTGCAACTTAGGAAAGGCAATGTAACAGTGACAGATGGAAAAACACAGCAGAGTATGCTTAAAGCTTAAAGCTTTTATTCAGTGAATCAAGAAGGGAGGTGATACTTCACCGTACATAAATGCAAGCTATTTAAACTCAAAATAGTGCTAGAAATCTGCAACAAACTCTACTAACGCAAGACCCAGACTTAGCCCACATGGCTTTGAATTATTCAAAATAACAAAACGTGCAGTAAAAAGACTAAACTAATTTATGAATTATTTCATCAACCTTCATCAATATTCCTTTGTTCCTGATTCTTTTTTACATCCATAGATAAGATAGGGAAACAATTAGGACATTTTGTTAAAAAATTTGAAACCACAGGGACCAATCGAGAGCTTTTTTAAACTTAGGGACTAATCTTCAGATTTCGAGATACCACAGGGACCATTCATGAATTTTTGTCATGTAATTATTTGTTCTCCAAAGATCAATTAGTAAACATTTAAAAGGTTAAGTCTTGCATAATACAAACTTAAAGTTGATAATAAGAGTAGTTATTTGACGAACATTCGGTTAGCTATTATTAGAATGATGATGGTTAGAATATGACGAAGAGGATAGTCACAATGTAAATTGCTAGACAATGAAATAAATTCATTGCACTTCTGCGAAACCAACCATAAATAAGAGGTGCAAATCTAAGTGTAACTTACTTCAAATTAGTTTCTTACTTTGGTGGTTCCGGTTATAATTTGTTTTGTTTGCGTTTAGTTAATTTCTTATAAACAAATTCCCCAAATTATTTTTCTGTTTTATTAAAGTACTAGGTTTAAACCCGTGGAATTCCACGGTTGATAAAGTAAAATATATAGATTTTAAAATGGTTTTATGTAGAAAAGTAATGATTCTTTAAATTTACATGATAATCTGATATTTCCTATCAAAATAAAAATAATGATGTTTTCGTTAATTTGGCAAAAAAATAAATAATCGGGATTTTTCCTTGTTCAAAAATTTATTTTAGGACTTTATCTAAAAAGTTCCTAAAATATTGGAACTTTTTTTGCATAAAACCTAATCTTAAAATTCAAAACATAACTTAGTTTGTCGAGTAAAATAAGATTTCATAGCTTTTGAAAAAATAATGAATGTTGAAAATGTATTTTTTTTAATTAATTAACATTGTCATTTGTAGGTATTTAGTAATTAAGTGTGAAAAAAATAACTTATACTTCAATACTAAGTCCTATGTAATTGTTTTCCGAGTTATTGATATCCATAAATATTCAACTAAAGAAAAATAAATAAAATATAATAACATTTAAGAACAAAAATAACAATATTTAAATTCAATTTTAAAAAAAAATTCATGTGCTAAATCTGCAATTTTACTTACGCACACAAAATTTGCAACTAAACAAAAGCATTTTGTGCTAAATAATATAATGGGTAACTCTTTAATTCATTTTAAAGCCAAGTTGTTTCTTAAAATTTTAAATATAAGAAAAGACGACACCACCAACTCGTGTATCCAGGCAACTGTCAAATGCTCAAATCTCACTATATTTGGTAGCAAATCAATTACCACCTGAAATCTCCCCAAGAAATCCAGAAAACCCCATCAGTATAATGAATACATACATAACATTTCAAATTTTCTAATAAAAAACGGAAATCTTGAAAGATTGCATGTGTTTGACCTCGTTGACCGAATATTTGCTAAAGAGATATGCTCTACTAAAACTTTATAACATTTTGTTTTAAATATATTTGTTACATCAATTCAAAATTCAAAATATTATATTTGTTTACTGATAATTTAAATTGTATTAATGTTTGCAGGCTGTAGCAGATCCATATTTTTATAGTTTAGCTAATTTGGAAATTGAATCATCAAAATAACAGATTTCAAAACTTGAGTTTGATTTTGAAAGGAGTAGATTATCAAAGAATGATGTTAGAGAGATGATTTATAGAGATGTATGATCATATTCTACAATTTTTCCTTTCCTTTATTTAGCATGCATTTGCTCAAGGGTATTTTCATCCTTTTCAAGCCACAAATCCTAGAGTGTCACCCACAGATACTGCAAGAGTACCTCCATGGCAAAAAAACACATAAGCTTCATATATCCAAGGTCAGATTTCACAGATTTTCATAGAAATGTCAATTTTAAAGATTTTTAACTATTTTCAATTGACTAAAATACCCTTTATCCTATTTTAGTGGTATGAATCGATTCAAGCAGCAGTTTGCGGATCTTGAGGAGCATGAGGGCAAGGAAGGAAGAATCTATCCACTTAAAGGCAATACACATTGTTGCCAAGGTAAGTTTCCAACTTTACCCCTCCCTTTAGAACAAAAAAGGACCAAAAATACGAAAGTATAAATAAAATAATTTAATATTGTTGTGTTTTTATCAAACAGAGCCTATATGTTTACCAATATAAAAAGATGTTGATGAAATGAATAGATTTGAAAGGTGTACAAACGCTGCAATTGATCCAACTCTTCGAAGCCCACCAAGATCATCGAAAAGGTCAAAAAATGTTCTAAAGAATTCATCAAAAATATTCCAAACAACAATAAAAATGCAAGAAGCTTATCAAGAAGTTCTACAATTAGTAATACATTAATACTACACCCAAATTTATAGGACCCAACAATAGGAAATGTTATCCAACCTAGGATCATTTAAACTTTACAACTTTTTTTCCAGAAAAAATTAGTAATTTTTGTAAAAGGATCATCAATATAGTTTAAAAGTTTATAAAACTTATAAAGTTCTCTTTCATTGTCTTCAATTAACTATCACTGATTTTAAAAATACTCTACTAATGAGCAATTAACCACATTCGCTTGTGAATAACCTTTAACTAAACTTTCACACAATAGGCAAGGTCTCCGAAGGAATTTTCAAGTCTGGTTGTCTCCAAAGACAAATAACTTTAACTTTAATGGTGTAAGTATCTTTGTAGAGATCCCTACCTTTAATTTCGAATCCATTAATCTGTTGTTAGAATCAAGAATATGTTAAAAACATTGTATTTTCGTATTCAAATACATATTCTTTGAATCCACACAGTTACATAAACATACAATCGAACGGAGTCACACTTTTTGTTGTCAACCTTAGTACTGAAGTTGGAATTTTCTTGAATTCTTTGTTTTTTACATTGCAGTTATAGTTTTGTGGATGGAACTGATAATCGTTTATATGAATTTAGTGGTTTAAGTTATATCCCTAAAAGTTTTTAAAATCCAATTCATGCTGCAAATAAGAAAGAAATTAAGGTTTGAATCTTTAAAGTCTAATTCATGGTTCTCTTAGGCATTTTATCAAACATATGGTAGATGAAACTTACCTGAAATAAAAAATGATAGATTTTTCAATTGAAAAGCAATTTTTATCCTTCTCTGATAAAAATATATGAGATGATAAAATCAAATTAGTAAGTACCAACCTCTGAAATTTTAGTAGTGCTATATGATTTCGAAATCCCTGCAAACTCTCATTGAATATAACATAAAGAGAATTCAATGAATTTGACCTTGAAAATCAATTAACCTATACAAATTAATCAAATTAAAGGTTACCTTTAGGGATGGGAGGCTTCGTGATCTCAAGTTCGGAAGATGTTTTGCTTAATTTCTAAGTCGTTCTCTTTTGACGAATTTCTTCCACCCGAGAATTCTTAAGAAAGATTGAGATAACGTGAGACGCCAAATAGCACTTGGTACTTAGTTTTTCTTTATCGTTACCGGTTTAGTTCCTCTTCTTCTGATCGAACAAATTCTTGAAATCCACCCGCTACATTTTAAAAGAAGTTTTACAAGTAAATCGGGAAATTGAGAATGATTTGGAATTCATTGTGTAAAAGAAGAGAGATTGATTGAATAGAGAAAAATCATGCTTTTAAATAGATAAACAAAATATTTTGATTTCAAAATTTGAATCGACAAGATAAACAGCGAGATTACAGGATCCTGATTAAGATTAAGAAGAAGGAATAGATCGAATAGCAAAAGCAAAAGGGTAAAATTGGTAGTTCAGTTTGATAGTATAAGCGGGAAAAAAACTTGAGGGGAGGGCTAGCAAATGACACGTGGACCAAGCGTACTGTTTTATTATTGTTTTATTATAGAAGAAGATAACTGTTAAGATTTTTTATCGGATTTGAATCATATATGTTCCCCTTTCATTCGACACCTAGTCTAACCATTGTTATGCTATTACACGGTCAGGTTCACTGGCTAAAGTGTGTTGCGCTTCAAATTTTGCGCAGTTGTTTTTATAAATTTAAAATCTGACTAAATAAATCACATCACATATGTTATGTACTATCGATACAAGAGACCTTGTGATTTAGAAAATGCTCTTATGTTCATTCGTAAGCAAATTCTTTTTATTCAATATGATATAATGTTTGCTATTCATGTAAGATGATTGGGTCCAATTAAATGCTTGGAGGTGGCTCGCATCCTTTTGCACGGTGGTTTTCCACCTGCCGCAGGAGGTTGTTGTCCGCCTTCACTTCCAGGAGTTCCAGGTGGAGTCGGTGACCCATTCGCAGGGGGAGCAGTAGAGGGAGGAGTAGGAGACGCTTTGGCATCACATTGGGAGTAGCAAAAGCACATGTATTTTGCTTCACGTTGATGACAAGCTCCATGTTCTGCACCCTCCCACTCTATGCACTGCTTGTCGCACTTGGCTGTGTCTTTGCACACCCCAAACCAAGTCTTGCTTGGCTTTTCACATACTTTCGCCTTCACAGTCGTAATTTCTATTCACACCATTAAAATTGGAGTTTCATTAATTAGTTAGTAGATATCAAGTAGAAGAGAATGAAAAATACTTTTACTCAACTGCTATTGATCGAGTACGTAATAAGTTCTCATTTACCATAACAGTTGTTTCATTATTCTTCTCTCGTTTATCTTATGCCGACTACTATTACCTCATAAAACCTTAACATTTTCGGACCCTTAGGAGAACCGAGTAATATCATATTTAACAAAGACAAATCCGCTACGGCATTTTTTTCGTATTTTCTAAAAATAATAATTTACTTTTAAATCTAAGGAAGTAAACTGACTAGAAAACTCTATAATTGTTATCATGAAGCTAAGAGAAATAAACGAGTTCAAGAAACCACTCGTCAATAATTAAAATCTGTTGTTTTTATTATAAACGTATGACTTCATGGCTTGCCATTGATCGAATAGTTAACAACGTATTTGGCTTATAGATTTTCCATCACAAAATACGTAACATACTATGTTATCTTAAATTCTTAAACACGAATTATATAGATTTTCGTTATTTGTGTAATCCCAGTATTTGAAATTAACTCCTCTTATGAAGAAACAACATTAAAGATTTTAGGCTGTTTATTTAATTATTTTCTCGTAGCACTTCGCTATTCTTAATAAAAAAATTGTTGTTAATAAAAAAAAATTAAAAACAAAAACAAAAAATCGGAATATTCTGAGCCCTAAATAGATTTAATTGATTATGCACCTGAGATAGCAAAAACGAAAATTGGTAGAAGGAATGCCATAAAACCAAAACTTTTTCTCATCTTTCTTTTATGCCGATGCAGAAAAAGAGTCAAATTACGAGTTCGCTGAATAGTGGTCGAGATGATTGAAGTATTTATAAGAGAAGGAATAAAGAGAACATTACGTACCCGAAATCTTTTAAAAAATAAATCATGATGATGACATAGTTCCACACGCGTAGGTGATATTGTAAATCATGCATACTTTTTTATTAAAAAAACCATAGATTATGGGGGGTGTTTGTGTTCATATTTAGTGATTTTTTTTAATTCATTTACCATTTAACTTGTTATTGCTCATCAAAATATACCACTACCACTATGACCAATTCATTAGAAATGATTTCAGAAGAAAAGGCATCTTAATTTCGATTTCACCTGTTCTGGAAGCTCATTCCCAGAAGACAATTTTCAATGTGTGCTGTGTGGGAAAAATCAATTGCATATGTTTTTATTTCTGGAACTCATGAAATCAAGATTCAAGAACACAAAAAGAACAAAAACCTTTCGATTTTGAGGGTTTTATTTTCTGGGTTTTTAAGAACAAGAAGAAAACATATGATCTTTGTATGTGTTTAAATGTTTTCGTTTATAGAACTTTAAACTCAAGAACAGAAAAAGAATTCAGAGCCTTCGATCTTTGTATGTGTTCTTGAAGCTTGATTTTTTGTATGTATACTTGGAGCTTGTTTTTTTTTTGGGTTTTGAATTCTTATAGATTTTTGTTGGTTATCATGCATTAGTTCTGAACATTGAAATGGACTTAAAACACAAATATAAATCGATTTTTAAAACTTGAAAGAATAAAAGACAATAGATTATTTGGAAATGACATTTTAGAACGTTGGAAACGAATTATTGATTTATTGGCTTTTTGAAAAGTCAGTAAGTTAAAAATCAATTGCTTTTTAGCAAACGGTTTTTCATCAACTTTTTGGCTTGCTTTTCATCAACTTTTTGGCTTGTAAAAGTTAAATACTTCTTAAAACATGTATAAATTAAGACAAACGGTTTTTAAAAAACAACTTATTGATTATTGATCTTTTTCCACTATAAAAACTAATCCAAACACTTTTTGAAAAACTCTTTTTCTCACCACCATAAATAAATAAGTGCTTTTGCTTAAAAGTCCTTTTTATATTCAAAATGAAATTTCAAACACCCTCTTAGGATTCGTTTGGATGTGCTTTTGAAATTCCTTGTTGGCTTTTTGGAAAAACCAGACATTTATGAGTTTTTGAAAAAACTATTTTTTGATTAAAAGTTCGTCTTTACCAAACACTTTCTTAGTTTATAAGTTTTTTGAAAAACTAATAAGTTAATAAAGTCATTTAAAAAAAACACTACAAAACACGTTTTTAATAAGAAAATAGATAAGATTTGATGTTAAAAATTATTATGCAATGAAAGAAATACTTATATTTTGGTTGATTGACATAGAAGTCACTCTTGGTATTCATTTTGCAATTTAACCATCAACATATAGAGAGGCTCAAGAGACCAGAGTGTCGTATGCTTCTTTATAATAGTTTCATAAGAAAGGATAAAAATCAATGCCTTAATTCCTGGTAATTAGTCTCTAAAATAACTAAATAAAAAAGACTATAGAAAACCTCTTTTATTTGGTAAATAGAGACTTGGCTCGAATGGCCCCAACAAAATCTCAAACATTGCAACAAAGCCTTCACCCTGAATTTAATGTAGAGTCTCTAATTCTTGCTAAAAACACAACCACCAAGCATCACTTTAGTTTCTAGCACCACAATATATCGACCCTAAACCATCTACGTCACAAACACACTTGCATCTGATTATCCCTATACAAATGTGTGACATCCCCAATTTCTCGGTTAGAAAAGACCAATTTGTTTATGCTTTGTTTAATCAGAGTAATCGTTTACAGAAAAGAGTTGCGGAATTTGTTCCCAAAACAAAATGTGATAAGAATTTATCTAAGCATTTCTTTAAAGAAATGTATTTTCATTAAATAACAAAATATCGGGATGTCATGTTCCGATACAGATCAAAAGCATAAACAGTATAAAATAGACCTTACAACAGTTATTTATAACTATTGATCTCTAATCCAAAATCTCTCGTCAAGTGCATCAACATATACTCTTGTGCCATTACATGTAATGCAAAGAAACTGAGTGGGTCAGGCTTGGGAACCTGGTGAGCATATAGGGTTTTCAACCCACAATAATATATTTATTATATTCAATCGTTAATCAACCGAATTACCCATCCTCATTATCTTCTTTATTTCTTAAGGTTTTACCCTAAGAATCGACTATTGTTCCTTTATTCATTCCTAAGGATTTACCTAAGGAATTGGCACGAAGTCCATTGCTGCCAAAGTTTATCTATCAGGTATGAAATCCATAGCTATCAGACGCTAACTCTATAGTCACCAAGGTTTATGTAACAGGCGCTACCTCCATAGTCACCAAGGTTTATGTAACAAGCGCTAACTCCATAGTCACCAAGGTTTACTCAACATGCGCTAACTCCATAGTCGCCAAGGTTTACTTTAACATGCGCTAACTCCATAGTCGCCAAGGTTTATTTTAACAGGCGCTAACTCCATAGTCACCAGGGTTTACTCATACCATGTCTCATCACACACCAATTATTCCATCTACCCATGTTCTACCCAACATATTTGTAGATATAAATTACATATATAGTTTAAATCATATACAAACCTGTATAAAACATTCATCCAACATCCATCTCAAATAAACAAACAATATATAAACACATAACACGTATTTCATAGCAAATACTTCATATTTATGTGTTAGCAGAAAGTAACTATAGACTCACACATATAAATAACAATATACCTAATACATTTCATACAATACTTGTATTATTATCGTGTTTATGAAAGTGACTACATACTCACTTGATCAGAAGATGATCGGGCGGCACTATGGCTTGTAGAAGTAGTATTCTTCGGTGAAACTGTGATCTCTTCACACACCGGGCCTCTCGCAGGCAGAGCTTCGGCTCGGAAACTCTTTTCTTCTCGGGATCTTCAGAACTTCGGGACTTACTTCGTGTCTCGGGATGATACCGGGGCTTCGGGGGTTAAAATTATAAAATAGGGCTTAGAGAGAGTATCGGGAGTGAGAGAGTGATAAACTAGAAACCTAAATCGGCTGCCCTTCGATTTCTATTTATAAGACTGATTTTATGGATTCACGTCATGAATCTCAAATATTCACGTCATGAGTTCAATCGTCACTACATACGTCATCGCAAGTTGCGTCTGTCAGGCTCCAGAAGTCATAAATACTTAGTTTATGTCGTGAACACTGTATTCACGTCATGACTTTCGCATACGAACTCAGTTTTCGACGTTCTTTATATCGACGCGTAGGTAAAAACAAGATCTAAAACTCGCATTTAGAATCTGCCGGCTAATTATGAAATTATTGTTATTATATTATTTTTAGTAGGCCGGGACAGGAAAACTCTGTTATAAACTCATAACTTCTTTATCTGTCATCCGTTTCCGTCTGTCTTTTCACCGTTGGACTACTATCGACGAGATCTTCAATTCTCGTTTAGATTGTTTCGGCTAAAAATCACTCGATCTTATATTCCAACTTTGGGTTGCATACTGTTAATGTTGAAACTTCGAAAAATCATAACTTCCTCATACGAAGTTAGAGTTAGACATTCTTTTTATGCACGCTGTCGGTTTAACGTATTCTATTACTTTCATTTAGATCGCTAAGGCCAAATATCTCTCTAACGTGAATTCATTATTTACGTCGCGCTGTGTCGTGCAGGTTCTGTCGAGAAACTTCGACAGGTCATATCTTCTTCGTTATAACTCGGATTTCGGCGTTCTTTATATGTACGGAATCCTTGTAACATATACTATAACTTAGTTAAATTTGATCCTTATAAATAATCTTGCATCAAAAAGTCATTTTTAATGCTTATCGTCTCTAAATTGACTAGCCCGGATCTACGGGCGTTACAGAATGTGGTAGGTGATATTAGATGATTACAATATATTTCAACTAATCTAAAAAAATTTAGCAGTTGGTTCATAAGTTATATTTTTAATAGTTAAATACTCATGATGTTCAATATTATTCTTAAATGGATACATATTATTCAAAACATATCAAATAATAGCAATAATCTTGCTAACAAAATCAAAATACAGAGTATATGTTAAATGTAGGCAGAAAACGATACCTGATGTTAAAATACATTATATATATATATATATATATATATATATATATATTACCCTTTCCTTGTTTCGATTAAAACAAAATACCAAGAAATAGCAAATAACATCCGTCGATTTGAAGCATAATGATAGTTAATGGGGAGCAAATGGATCGATTAGTGACCATTATCGCTCAAAACAGCAAAATTTCACTCGTTCGTCTTTACAAATAAAGTGTTTAGATCCTTACACAAAAGGTACCTAGTAGCAAAGGGCTATGAACACATCAGTGAAAGGAATCCATTTGGCAAGAATATAGTTGGTGCTTAATGTGTTTCTTTGAAAATAGAGAAAGGTAGGGTGAGTTTGAAGAAGAAAGCGACACGACATAGGAGAATGGGTTGTCTAGGGTTTCAATTTGAGTGATTTACTGAGATATAGGGTGAGACGTATCAATTGAAGAATTACGGGCGAGGTAATTGGTGATTTAGCGACTGATTTTACAACTGAATGGAGTGAAATAGGGATTTTGAAATACAAATCATAGCTAATCAAGGGACTGAAATTTGAGGATGATTGAAGATTTAGAAGATAAATTTTTGATTTTCCGATTGACATATGAAAATTGAAGAGGAAAGTATTTGATTGGTAAATGAACATATAAGGTGGAGGGTTAATTTCGGAATTTCACCTTGATAAAATGAGCGGAAATATAAGCAAGAAGAGTGTCTGGAGAATGCCACCTACCAAAATAGTACTTGTTTATTAGGATAGGGGATTTTATTGTCATCTTACATGTCACATCACCATTAGTATTATAACAAGTTAAAGAAATGATCACCATGTTATAATATGCTCTAAC